CACCCCTAATTTTTAACATTGTAATCACTAGTATGACTTTTTGAAAAAAAAAATATAAATATAAAAAATAAAGTGAATTAAAATTTTATAACTAAGAACTAATTAAATATCAAATTAACTTTTATATTAATTATCTGAATTAGTGGGTGTCTGCGTTGCCTTGCTGCCAATAATTTATCGTATCGGTCAATAGTCAAAGTCAATTCAAACGGGCATAAATTCATTTTAAATTAGAAGCAGGAATCAAACCAAAATAAAAATAAATAAATATATAAAGCGAAAGAAAGTGAATTAAAGTAGGTTTAATACCATTCAAAAAGTTTGACATCATTTTAATTTTGGTATCTAAAATTGAATCTTATTTTGATTCCTGGAATAGTATTTTGGTCCATGAAACCAAGATTTCAAATTTAGATACCAAAAGTAAAATTTAAAAAATAAAAAATGATAGTAATATCCTTCTTAAATATCTATCTGTCTAAACAAGAATTTATTGAAAATGAAAAAGGTCTTAAAATATTTTATCTGATTGATTTAATTTTTAAATAATTAACCAAGTTAATTTTTTTTTCTTCGTTTTTTTCCTTTCATTCGAACAAACATAATGCCTGGAGAGTTTTTTTTTTTTTTAATTCTTAGTAGGGCACGTGTGGATCCACTTCTAAATTTGACTTTTAAATTTCAGAAAATTAAGCCGCACCACACCTACTCCCCCGCCTGAAAATAGTGTTGACCTTTGACTTTGAGGCATTGAACGACTCCGCGTGATGGCTTTGACGACTGCAATGTTAAGATCTATCAATTAAAAATTATATATAAAAAATCTACAATTATAAAACTATTTTTTTATTATATACCTTTCTTAAATTTAAAAAAAAAAAAAATGAAGTTGCAGCCTTAGAGGGTCTAAAAGGTGCTAGGTGTAATATGTGAAAATATAGTAACAATTTTAAACTGAGACTTGATTGGTAGTCATGGGGTGACAAAAAAATTAATAGTTATGGATTTGCTAATATATCAATATAATACTCCTCCGGTCCTAATATAGGACCCAATTCTTGAGTTGGTTTTGGTCCTAAATATAAGACTCCTTTTTCATATTTATCCATTTTCTCTAAATTACCCCTATGATATTCCCTCACCATAATCAAGTAAAGAGGGAGATAGGGTATTAAGAAAAATGATATAGTTGTTTGAGAAAAATGTGTCACTTTTCTTATAATTAACTAATTTACCTAACCTCCTTAATCTAATCAAATTAGTTAAATGGGTCTTATTAAGGACCGGAGGGTACTAATTTTTAGTTTTTTTTTTTTTTAATCAAAACAATAGGCCAAATCAATTACATAGTTCGATGTCTTACGTGACCCAACTTATCATCATCAAACATCTTAGAAGAAAACAGTAGGTAATCTAGCAACAATTTACCACAGTACTCAATAATTTCAGTGATTTATTGTCCAAAACCAAACTAATTAACTAATTTCAAATTCAAGTGATGATCCCCAGTGACTGGTTGCCTAATCCACCAACACTTAAAATAGTGATGTGAAAGACCATGGGAAATTCATCCTTCAAATTACTATTTGTATTACTACCTCCGATCTTTAATATAAGACCTTATTTGACTTTTCTTTTGGTCCTAAATAAAGACCACAGTTCACTTTGTCTCTCATATTTATGCATTTTTTCCAAGGTAGTCCTTCTAACAATGGTAGTTCTAACTGGTAAGGATATTTTAGGAAAGACAACACCTATTTATTACAAATAACTAACCTAACTTCTTTCCTTAATCTCCTCAAATTAGTCAACTAGCTCTTATAATTAGGACCGGAGGTAATATCTTATATATAATCCACCACTAACCTCCTTTTTTAATTATTGATTGCATATAGTAAGAAAGTTTCTATCAGTGAGTAGTTACAATGCACATAACTGGGAAGGGTATTTTAGAAAAATCATTACGCATTTGTTACACAAGCCTATTTTAACTATTTTTTATATTAACAAATTAGTTATTGTTGACTCCCCTTTTTTCCATAGATTTGAGATCTATTTTGAGTGTATATGGGGAGTTATAAATGCAAAATTGGGAGTGCTTTCATGAGTTGGGAATGAAAAATTGACCAAGAGCATCAATGAGTGTAATGTTGATATTATTAAGAAAATGAAGTAGAATGGTTAGAAATTGAAAAGAGCAAGTTGTCCACCATAAATGTTTGTTTTTATGGTGAGAATAAAATATTATAAGCAAAAAAGAAGGGAGTTGATGAGCATGAAAGTCAAGAGTGAGAAGATCTACTGATGCCAAGGCATATGTGTGAAGTACTGTGACACTTTGTTCTGAGGAAAAAAAAAAGTAGTGCCACTCACGCCATGACACCATACTGGAAGTACCATGGCAGCCTGCGTAGAAAAAACAACGCCTTTGGTGCAAAGCGGTGGAAGTGCCATGGCATCTTGACGGAACCTAAAACGTAGTGTTTGGTCTTCTAATATAAAATGACTGAGGGAACTCGTTTTTCATTCATTCTGGACGTGATCTGCAAGAGAGAGGTTGTCATTCTTGACCCTTGAGGATGCTTTGGAACTGTTTCTGCATAGAGAAAGAAGGATTGAAGGCAGGAGAGATTAGAATTGAAGCTTTGAAGTGATTTAGAGTCTCATTAATATTGACAAATTAGTTATCTAACACTTATATTAAGAATAAAAAGGAGCAGCTTATCACAAGATATGTGCTGGGGTGGAACAATTTGCTTCTAAGGAACTTTTGACAAGAAATCTGAAGTTACATTGTTTTAATCCAAAATTCAAAAGTGGGCAATTTATTATTAGCACTTTTGGCTTATGATTATTTTCTGTTAGTCCATTCCGATCCTCCCTCTTTCATCTAGACCAGATTGGTAAATTGGTCAAATTTTTTTTTTTTTTTTACTATTATCATGTTCAGCAACTCTATAACTGAAATGTTAATCTACAATCTGTTGATCAGGTGCTGAAAACCAGTACTGATTAATCTGCTGAATGTGGGTATTATTTTAACTTTTGACTTTTCCTCCGCAGCACAAATGTATCATATCAGAAGGCTAAAAGTTGAACAATTGGGCTTCATCCGTTTACTTTCTATTGCTTATTATTCCCCTAAGCAAGACAACAACTGACTGTACAAGGTCTAAATTTCTGCCTCATCATGTCAAGGTTAGTTGTGCCTTTCACACAACTATGGTTAGTTACCCCACTCTTATACCCCTTTTGCCATTCATGCTTCTTTGCTACTTGTTATTATATTGAAGGGAATATTGTGTGGATCACACTGAATCTCTTGTGTGGTTTGGAATAAAGCTTTCATTACTTCCCTTTTAATGGTGCTTGCCTGGGAGATAGTTACATTATATTCTGCATTAGCTTTTTTCCCGAAGGGAATGTTGGCACTGGCGAGGGGATTAGGAGCCGCTAATGATTATTGTCAAAATTGAGCGACAATCATTGTATGGTGATATCGCCTCGTTACTTGCTCCTTTTTCTATTTTATTATGTGTCATTCATCTCTTTTTTATATGCTAATATGTTAAATGCTCGTTGTATGCCATATGATGTAAAAAGGAAGTTGTTATTTTATTTTTTTAAAAAAGCACAAAGACAGAAAATTCTTTATAGTGTGGTCAACTTTTTTTTTTTTTTGTAGAAATAGTGTGGTCAACTTTAATTCTAATGTCAGCAAGTATACTTTCTGTCATGTAAGTCTCAGAGGTAAAAATGCGATGATTCCTGACTTCCCATAATTTTCAGTAAGTTATACAAAACCCAATCTTTCAAGAAATATCTAGGTTTGAGTCACCTAATTTTTTGTTGAACAAGGCACCACATCATTCCTGAAAAAGTCGATGCACATGTCTTGTGGGAGAACTTTCTTCCAAACTGAGGATGCTAACAGGCAATTCTTAAAGACATGATTAATATCTTCCTGTAAAATCTTTCTCCTGTATAGTGTTTTTTGATGAATTCAAATCTTCCCTTGTTAATTTTTTTTTTTAAAAAAAGATCTTCAGGAGCATGACCTGATTCAAAACAAAAAAACGCACTTTTTTTTTTACTGTCTCATTGACTTCCTAACGGTTTACGGAGTTCTAGAAACCAAATGAGAAAGAAGTGGTGGGAAAAAGCTTCGCACATGGGTTGAAGATTTCTTGTGAAGGAGGTTTCAAGTCTCATTTTGGACCAAGGCAACGCCTTCGTTCTCAGGGTGCTGATTTTGCCATGGCAGGTTTGCATGATGGAAGGATGTGTTGTGGATGTAAAAGGTAAAAGGGAAGATAATGGAAGGAGGAGGGAAGAAAGTGGTTGATGAACAATTTAGGACTTCTTTGGAATGGTAATTTACTGTATACGAACTATGTTAGAATTCTTACGAGTGAACATTCCTATGATACTGTGAATGCAAAGTTTTGTCAATGACCGATTCTGTGTTGTTTTTTCAGGCTATTTCGTCTCAAATCCTGGAAAGCAAAAGGATAAAAAAATAAATTAGATTTTCTCAGTCTGAGGCGATCGCACGGACTAGGAATGAATATTTGAGAGAGCAACAGTTTGATACAAGCCATAGACCAAGCTTTCTCAGCAGGTAGTTGAAAAAGATAATGACGACTCTCCTTTCACATCCTCCGAACTACTAACATTTATCTACCTCATAAAATCTCAATTTTGGAACTTTAGGTGTTTCTTTTCCCAATTGACATGCATTGTGGAAAAAATGTGCAAGTGCAACAGACACCATTATAAGACAGTAAATAAATTGAAGATCACAAGACAAAAATCATTCAGTAAATGAATTCAGTAATTCAATTAACCGTTTAAATACAAGATGTGAACAGGAGGCCTTCATATACAAATACAACATCTACAACCAAATCATTGCTAAACTGCAAGAAACAAATTAACTGATCTAAAAGCTTCTTTAGAATGTTCTACGGTTAAGTCACTGTCACAACGTTATAAAATCATCACCAGAAGATAGAAGACCTTAATTTATGAGCATAAACGATGTAGCCGCGGGTTAAGCCAGATCCAGCTAATTCATTCACTCCCTGGACACTGATCAAGCCAGCCAGTCTGTAAACTAATCTACAGGAGAGTAAGTTCCTGAGGATTTTCCACGGACTGCTTGAGAATATACTCAGCTCTCCTCTTTTTTTCATCTCTCTCTCTTCTTCTCGGCCTGTTAAAGATGCCATTTGCTCTTGCTCAGCACTCTTCTGCTGTCTTGTACCCAAAGATTCGCCAATAAGCTTCTTCCCAATCCTGAACTTGAAATGAACAGTAGGCCTTACCCCAGGAAGAATGGTTTTGTCTTCCTGCCCATCGGTCATACCACTCTTCACTACCTCAATTGCAGGAGCAAATGCCTCTAGCACAGAAACATGATTTGCACCAGCAATTTCATCTGAGAGCTTTGAGGGTAAGACAATGGAAGAAACATCTACATCCCCTGAAGGCATAGGAGGCTGAAGAAACGGATTCTTTACAACTCCCTCTGAATCTTGTACAGCACCACCTCGTATATTCGAGGCCGGTGATGCTGCTGAACCCTGGCATAGCAGCCGCTGCTGCAAACTCAACAAAGACCTTTCAGCCTTCCTCCGCTGCCTTGCTTGTTCAATCTTATCTTCTCGAGGATCTGTGGACCTCTCATTCCACATGGGTGTATGAATGTAGGTGTGAATATCGGGGAAAGCCGGCAACCAAGCAGGTATATGCTTGGAAGGTGGTGATTCACCCATTTGCATGAAGCTTGGGATGACACTTCGGTCCTTAATCACTGGAAATCGAGGTATTGGCTGAGCTAATGGAATCCCCTCCCCTGAACTGATGAGGCGAATCATGTCCCTCACTATGCCAGAGCCGGCAAGACATTGTGTAGGCTCAGATGCACCGAGAAACCCTTGAGTTGCTTCTAAATCTTCTAGCGCTCGAATGAAATCAAACACATTACATTCTGATCTACCAGCTAAGTTAGCATAGAACTCTGCCATCTTTCCCAAGTCAAAGAGGTATCGGATTGCAGTGTCAGCAAAAGCCTCCAGGGCGGACTCTTTGATGCTGTGAAACCCTGTGCTTTCACATATCTGTGCAACCGCCACCTTTGACACTGCTCGCCCGAAGTCATCACCTGCAGCTCTTTCTCCATGGTTCATATTCAAGCCCACATATCAGTTAGGGTTTTCACGAGCCACATTTTTTATTCCATGAATTATCCAACCACTGTAATCATCGGACAAATAAAACATAACAATCAAAACAACACATTGAAGAAAAATACCTATGAAGAAGAAGCACATAACAGCTTAATTGGTCTCACACTAGAGCAAATTTCACAAATTCGGAAGCTCGCAGACTTCCAGCTTCCATACATTAGGCACATAAAACAAACAGAAGGATGAAGTCCCATAACGTTAAAACAAAAAATCTCCAGAGCTGTTTTTGGACAACCCTAGCGTGGTATTGAGAACAATCCAATTTCAAAAGATTCAAAATCGGTCACGATGAAGCATAACAATTAGAAAGGTAGAATGGAAAGCAGATCGAAGCGCTCATATGCGAAGGAGGGGAGCAGGGTAGAAAAACAAGAGGGCGATGAGGAACAACGTGGAAAAATTAAAAGGAAGAAGCAGCACGGGATGCAGAAAAATCAGGGGGAAAAAAATAGGAAAAGAAGTAGATGAGAAAGCAGAACTATGAAACCTGCGGTGGAGAAGCCTAGTACGGCGAGGGCGCTGATGGACGCAGCAGGTGAACGTGACTGCGCCGATTTATGCTGCAGAGCGCAGATGATTGCTTCTCAGGAACACGACGAGAAGTAACCAAGCGGGAGCGGCCACTGCGACGGACAGAAATGATGGATTTAGGTTTTGTTGAAAGGAGGGTAGTTTTGGATTATTAAAATAGCGTATGGGCATATTGGTCACGATGCAACGAAATCATATTCCTTGATTGCTTCTCCTTCCCTCCAAATCCTCAAAAATCCAAATCTCCTCCAGACCTCCACACATTTACCAAACGGGCAGTCCCCTCTAGAGTTTTTAACTGGGCTGAAAATTAACAGGGAAGCCCAAACCAGGCAGAGAGGTCCAAATTTCTAGCCCAAAAGAAAATGTTAGATGAGCCCACTTCCAAGCCCCTCCGTCTGCGGCCGCATCCCTAGCATATCTCGGATCCACTAGCTTCAAGCCACACATGAGCTCCCCTCTTAATACCCTCTGGGTTAATTTGGGCTCAAGCCCAATTTATTTTGGGCTGCTGCTATGCTCAAGCCCAAAAGTTAATATATCCAATAGGCAGCTCACCTTCTTATTCCTGGCTAATAGCTAGATAGCATAAATGCTTTCTTACAAAATTACAAGTAGTTGCGGGTTCAATTCAACTTCTAACATCACCTTTGATAAGAAGATATCTATGCGTAGTTAAAAAAAAAAATTCAACTTCTAACATTATGTCCTTAGTGAATGTATGTTCCTCTAATAAAAAAAAAGGCAACAACAAGTGTTAAACAGCAAATGACAAAAAATATATAACCGGTAATGACATGTTATTTATTAATAAGTTATAAACTAGCAACGATAAATGTTAAACAATCAATGACAAAAAATAATAAAATATATTGGTAATGACAAGTTTGATAGCTTTTTTTTTAAAAAAAATCTAATATAAGGGAATTTTAGTCATTTGATTATATTTGCAAAATATCAAATCAGGCACTACTTTCTCACCTGGAATTTTGACCTCTTAGGTGCTTGAATTGAAATATTGTAATTTCTAATTTCTTTTTATGTCATCTTCCCTCTCCAATAATCTCGTTGTAATCAAGTATATTATTTGAAAGAAAATTCCTAATTTACTCTTATAAGATACTAGATCTTATTTTCCACCAAAAGCGATACAATTAGATAGAGGAGGGACAGTGGAGGCCGGGAACGGGGCAGCAAAGAGAAGTCCTTTCCCACTTTATGAGGGTAGATTGGATTTTTTAATGAATAAGGATGAAAAAACAAGTCGAATCCATTGGGCCAGTCCGTTTAGGTCCGAAAATTATGAGAGTTGAGTTTAGAATTTTTCCCTTCAAATAAAAAATGAACTTAAAAGGACTGGCCCTCTAAGGCTGAGGACTTAAATGGGTTGGCCGGTATAGGTCCTTTTATAATTTTTTAATATTTTTTTATATAATGCCAATATTATTATTTTTTTGATATTGTTAATGATATTTTAAATATTTAATTGTTATTATCAATTTGAAATTAAATTTTAGGAAAAATTAATATTTTAGTCCTTTAAGTTTTAACTCATTTATAACTCAGTTCGTTAACTATGAATCAGTGCAACTCAATCCTTCAATTGTGACTCGCCTATAACTAAGTTCCTCCTCTTTTTGCATTTAATAATTTAATCCTTATTATATACAATTTACTTTTAATCCCCAAATAATTATCCTATATGGCAAAAAATATTAATTAAGATCATTAAAAAAATGAAAATGTGTCTTTCAACTCAGCTCCTGTATGATACTATGCAATCAGACTCCGCCATTTTCTTTGGCAGCATCTCCTTCCTTTGCTTCTTCACCCTCATCATTGGCAAAGTCCTCAGCACATGGTGCCCAGCTCAACCCCGTCTTCTACTTTTCCTGCTAATACAATGTGCAGAAACACAGTCAAAGCAAAAAGAGCCATTAATAGACTCCTAATGAGCAAGAGAAGGTATGACCCAATGTGTGAATTGTAGTGTTTGTATAAAAGGGACGACATCTTCACTGGAGGAGAGAAAGCAAAGCATGGATAACAAATACGGTAAGGAATATTAGTGAGATTGAGTGGTAGGCGAACGGCTTTTGTGAAGTCGCTGGAAGTATATATCTAAGCAGCTTCAAATAAACATTTTCAAATGTACGTGCCTTTAACACAGCCTTTATTTGGGCTGTCCTTCCATTTGAGTCGGCACCACGAAGAATCAATCAGTGGTTGGGTGGAGAAGCCGACGATGAGGCTGAAGAAGCAGAGAAAGGAGACGCTGCCGGAGAAAATGGCGGAGGAGTCTAATTGCATAGTATCATACAGGAGCTGGGTTGGAAGACACATTTTCATTTCTTTAATGATGTTAATTAATATTGTTGCCATGTAGGATAATTATTTGGGGATTATAAGTAAATTGTATGTCATAAGGATTAAATTATTAAATGTAAAAAGAGTAGAGACTGAGTTATAGCCTTATAAGCAAGTTACTAGTTGAGAGACTGAGTTGCATTGAGTCATGTAGTTAAAGGACTTAGTTAAAAGTGAGTTAAAATTTGAAGGACCAAAAAATTAATTTTTCTAAATTTATAAAATAGTTTGACTTATTTGATTTTGGACAATAATCTGTTCAATTAAATTTTAAGAAATTGGTTAATTTAAACTTTAATAATGATTTGATTTATATTATATATGTTGATGTTTTTAAAATATATCTATTTAATAAAAGAGTATTTTTAATACTTATATACCTTGTGATTCTATAATTTAAATTAGAAATTTATAAGTTTCAAGACTAATATATCTCAAACTAAAGTAAAATAATGCTTAGACCGCAAAATTTAAAATTGAAATTTTAATGAAGAAAAAAAAACTTAATATTTTTGCCACTAGTAAAGAAGAGCAATTGTTGATAGTGACAACGAAGTCTTAAAAAATTGATAATAGTGTTTGTCTATTGTATATTTGTACTGTTAATGAAATTTTTGAATGTTATTATCTTATTAATAGATGTTCTTTAATGTTGATGGATAATTAGATATGATGATGTTATATTTGTGACTTAATTTTATTTATATTCATGCATTTTATTAATAATTTCATTGTTTTATTTCCATTTTATTGATAAAATATGCGGAAAATATCAAAAAAATTATTTTTTTCTTTAAACAAGTCGAAAGCCCACAGGCCAGGCCTAAGCCTGTCAGCCTAAGGGGGCTAGTAAAATGGAACATTTATGAAATTCTAACCCTGTAGGTTAGCCTGTATTCCCAGTATTATTTATGATATGAATGATGAGGAGGGAGGGAACGCAGTTAGCATTACAAAAGGGAATTCCGTGTGTGTGTATAAGTTCAACTAAACACATGAACCCGCTTCTTATATTGCTACCTCCAATTCTAATAGTTGAAGATTTAATTTAGTCCCAAATGTAATATTTTAATATATTTTGTCTCTTATATTTATTTATTTTTCTTAAAATAATCTCCATAGTGATTGTACATGTTAGGTCTTTCATTCTAATACACATGATTAATAAAGCTATTTTTGAAAATGCAACACCTATTGTTATAAACAATTAACTTAACTAATTTTCTTAATATTTACAAAGTAGTTATCTAACTTTTATACTCTTCTAGTCCTAAATACAAATATATTTTGTTATGTAAATTACACTACAAAATGGATCTTATATTAAACCTACTCTTTCGGTCCTTAATATAAGACCCAATTATTGAGTTAGTTTTGGTTCTAAATATAAGACCAATTTCTCATATTTATCAATTTTCTCTAAATTACTACTATGATACTCCTTCAACAATAATCAAATAGAAGAGGAAGAGGGGGTATTAAGAAAGATGATTATAGTATTTTAAGAAAAAAAGTGTCACATTTCTTATAATTAACTAACTTACTTAACTTCCTTAATCTAATCAAACTAGAAAAATGAGTTTTATATTAAGAACCGGAAGAGTATTTTGTCATGTATATTACACTACAAAACAGATTATATATTTAGGACGGAAGAAATATTAAGTAGCGGAGGTAGCATGATTAAATGTAGTCCTCTTTTATGAAATTGAACCAAGACTCGGGGCGTCCATTGCTCCTTAAATTTTTCCCGCTCCTAAAGATTTTCTTTTTAATAATTGTATTCTTCATAAAAAGCTGAAATTTTGATATCTTACAAAAGAAAATGGTACGCTTTTGAATTTGTTATGATTTTTTTAAAAAATTATATCTAAATTAAAAAGAAATACATAATTTTAGAGTATTTTTAGAACTTTAGAGTATTTTTCTTGACAAATCATTAAAAAAAACCAGAAATGCATATTTTTTTACTCATAAGGTATTAAATTTTCATTCATTTTAAGTAGAATTTAATAATAAAAAAAATTCGGGATAGTGGGGGAAATTAGAGAGCAGTGGAGACAGATAACACTCCAAAGCCATTACACATTTGTCTTTAATTTGCGGAGCTATTTTGTTTCTTTTGGAACAACCGGACATTGTTACGGTTAATAATTAACCCCATCTTTTTTTCTGAAACTTGCTTGCAAGCAACATTGTTTTCTTTTAATGAATACTACTCCGCCTCTTATTATAAGATCATTTTAACTAAATTGTGCAGTTTAAAAAAACAGTTAAAATTAGTTAAAAACAATTAATATGTAGCAAATGTAATTTTTTTTTACAAATATACCCCTATATATAAATGGGTAAATATGATAGAGTAATAGTAAGATAAATGAAAAAAGAGAATGTATTAAATGCATTAAACTAGGGGTAAAATAGGTAATAATGCATTAAATGTTCAGATAAATTCAAAAGGGATCTTATAAAAAGAGATAAACCTATTCAAAAAATTGGATCTTATAATAAGAGACGGAGGGAGTAACAAAGATAGGGAGTTAGGGACACCAACACAATCTATGTCTAGTTTTTGAGTTTCTCATCAACCCATAAAAGTTCCATTTCGAGCTCCATTCATGGCAAGGAGCTTAAGATCTTCAATCATGGCAGTCAAATTCATTTGTGAGGATCCATCTTCTTCCACTGCTTTTCGAGATTTCTCTCTCATCTCTCTGGCTTTCATCCTCACCCTCTCAGCTTCATCTCCGCCGTCCATTAGCCTCCTCACGGCTTTCTCTATCTTTACCCTGCTTACTACCTTCTCCATTCTCTCATAGGGACTGGACTTCCACTCCTCTGCGCCCACCTCCACTCCAAACCCGTGCACTTGCGTTATCAGCTTCTCGTTGTAAAACTGCTCGATGAATACTGGCCACGTCATCATCGGTACCCCAGCGCTCACCGCCTCCATCACTGACGTCCACCCACAATGCGTCATAAACCCACCGATCGCCGGATGGTTCAGTATCAATTCCTGTGGGGCCCATTTCATCAGGATGAGCCCTCTGTTGTTTTCCTTCTTCATCCTCTCTTCAAACCCTAACGGCAACCACGCGTCCTCTTCATCTTCATCGTCACGGTGATTCTTTTGTTTGGATTCCCTGTGCACCACCCAGATGAAGGAACATCCAGAAGATTCCAAGCCACATGCTATTTCGAACAGTTGAGGGCCAGCGAAACGACATAAACTCCCAAAGCTAACGAAAACTAAGGAATTGCATTCCTTGGAATCGAGCCATGATCTTATGTATTCATGGTCCTTATTACGTTGTTGGTGATGATGATTCTTCTGTCGCAGCATGTTTCGTAACATGAGAGAAGCAGGACCAATGTGCCAAACCTTGAGATCTGTAATTTTCTGATAATACTTGATGTAATCGGGACCGTCCAGCTCACAGAAGTTGTTCACAATGAGACCATAGCTGTTCTTCTGATCAGCCTCTATCAAGCTTTCAAGTTGATGAGAAATCAACTTTGGTGGTCGGAGGGTGAGGGTGATTGGGTCAGGAAGACCCGAAACAACAAACGGACCACCCGAATTATGATCATAAGATGAAAGGCTGTGATTGTGATTGTCTCTTGTTTGCATTGATCATGCACACTGCAAAAAGACAAAAGGAGTTGAACACAATCCTGGGAATCCCCAAACGTGTCGCTATCGGGGCTGTCCATGGGTATATAAAATCCGAAACGATGCAATCTGGTGGGTTTTGCTCCATGAAAGGCTCCACTTGATTCTTGAGCAAACCTGCAGCCACGTAAAACTTATCAGCAGTCTGAGCATCTGTGACATTGAAGAAGTTCTCGATGCCGACAGGAAGACCGACTTCCTCGGACGGAAATCTGATGATGTGAAGTTGGATATGGTGGCCCAAGGCCTTGCTTTCTTCAATGGAGCTTTCAAGGAATGGGGCATTCACAGAGGTGGTGATGATGGTCACATGCAAACCATGTGCAGCGAAGAGCCTAGCAAATTGGCAGGAAGGGATCAGATGGCCTTGTGCCAAGAAAGGTAGGAAGTAGACCTTGAGAGGCCTGGAAATTGCAACCATGGCGATTGGTGCTCTTACGTGTAGTGTGAAGGGAAGAAGACGAGCCTTTGAAAACAAGAGGGTTTCAAAATGCGACAGTCCAATGGATTAGTTTTACACAGTTTGATCCTAATATAAGTAACTAGAGTCTTGGGTATATTCCAGTTCATATTCGCAGGTTAGTGCGCACACACCCATATATACTCTTCCGATCCTAAACATAATACCCTCATACATGTGTGTATAAGGGTTTTATATTTAGGACTGGAAGAATAATCTATTCGTATTCGTCTTGGAATAGCTCCATGCAAGCCAGTGAAGCTAGAATTGGCATGATATATACAAACCAGATGTTGTTTTTGAGACATGAAAAGGAGAGGAGTAATTTAAGTTACAAGCGAAGATGGTTATGGCTTGTCCGATAATAGAGTTGCTTTGGAGAGCATCATTGCACAAAAGATTCCTGGTGGTGATGATGATGTGTGAAAGGTTAAAATATTTGGTGGTATTTAAAAGTAGAAGCACCGGCTAGATCCGAACTATCATTGGCTTTTTCAAACTTGTTCTTTTGCTCCAGCCTCCAAGAATAAGCACTCCTTCTTCATCCAGCATCTTGCCAGCGAAATTGTCCATATACTGATTTTTTTGCGGCTGGCTTCACAACTAAAGAAATATTAACTCTTAATTTAATTTTAATTAAAAAAATTATTACCGTAATGAACAAATTGAAGTTATATATACAGAGAGAGACAGAGAGCCCCAGTGCAGGTTATGCTATCACTACTTTGTTTTTTTTATAAAAGGTAAAAATGATTTATTATAAAAAAATAAGTTAAAAGTACAAAATAGGAAATAGGATAAAGACGTTGAGTGTGTAAAAAAATTTCCTATAAAGTCCTAATGGGAACAGAGGAGAAATTCTACGTCACGTGAAAGATGTCATGCTAAAAAATTTCTGAAAGGAGAGTAACCGAATTGCTTAGAAGTTAGAAGCTAGTTAATTAGAAGCTTTTTGACCATTATTAATAATAAATTCTAGATAATCAAAATTTAAGAAGATATTAACCCAAAATATCTAACTTAGAGTTGTACAGACACAGTGAAAAATAGACAAAGAAGAGCTAATAATGAACTTTCTTCTCCGGTTGAACAGATGTATTGGGTGCCATCTACTTTGTTTTAATATTTTATATATATATGTATAATTTTTACAGGGTCTTTTTAACAAGTGCCTTAGGTAATATGTGGAAAAGTGACTATTTTAAAATTATACTACTTCCGGTCCTTAATATAAGATCTTATTTGGCTTTTATTTTTGTTCAAAATATAATACCACAATCCACTTTGTCTTTTATATTTATACATTCTTTTCCAAGGTAATCCTTCTAACAATGGTAGTTATAGTCAATATACTTGAATGGTAAGGATATTTTAGGAAAGACAATACTAATTTATTACAAATAACTAACTTAACTTATTTCTTTAATCTCCTCAAATTAGTCAACTAGTTCTTATAATTAAGATTGGAGGTAGTATTTCCTAGCGTCCCTTAATTACCTATTAGCATCTTTTGAGCTATTAATTAAGTAGGAGCAGTCCAATCATATTAATAACTCCTAATTTTTTAGGTGCTTGCTTAAAAAGGGTAATTAAATGCAAGTTTAGTATGACTATATAAGGTAGGTAGTATATTCTAATCCTACAATCAAATCAAATTAAATTCAATTAAAGGTCCAGTCTAAATTTCTTATATTTCTATGCTCCTCTGAAACACTAAAATAAGAGTCCCAATTGGATTCATCATAATTCAGGCCAAGTAAGCGGACAATTAAATCAACAAACATTACATTATGCACAACCAGATCAAGGAACATCCAGAAGATTCCAATCCATAAGCTCTTTCGAACAGTTGAGGGTTATCGAAACGACACAGACCGCCAAAGCTTACGTAAACAACAAAATTTGATTCCTTGGAATCTAGCCATGTCCTCATGGCCTTGTGCCAAAAAATGCAGAAAGTAGACTTTGAGAAGTCTGGAAATTGCTATCATGGCGATTACTGCTAGCTGCTATATGCTCTTATGTATAGTGTGAGAGAAGGATGAAGACAAGCTTTTAAAGAGAAGAGTGTTCCTCAATACCACTGTCCAGTGGCGTTGTTTTACAGTTTGACCCATTTCATATTAACTGGAGTCTATTTTTATTCGCTGCTACATCTAAAAGTAACTAGAGCCTTGGGTATATTCTAGTTCATATTCGCAGGTTGATGGAGATACACACACACGCACGCGCACTCTATTTGAATTCGTCTTGGAATAGCTTCATGCAAGTGAAGCTGGCTTTGGCATTATATTCCTCCGGTCCTTAATATAAGACCCATTTAACTAATTTGATTAGATTAAGAAAGTTAAGTAAGTTAGTTAATTATAAGAAATGTGACATGTTTTTCCTAAAATATCATAATTATTTTTTTTAATACCCCTTTTTCTCTTCTGCTTGATTATAGTTGAGGGAGTATCCATAGGGGTAATTTAGAAAAAATTGATAAATATGAGAAATGGGTCTTATATTTAAAACCAAAACCAACTCAACAATTAGGTCCTATATTAAGGACTGGAGGAGTACATATAAAGCTGTTATTGTTTTTGAGAGACGATGACAAAAGATTCCTGGTGATGGATTGAGACTCGTATGAGGTTAAAATATTGGTGGTATATATATGTAAAACTACTATCATTGGCTTCCAATTATTTGTTCTTTTGCCCCAACAATAGGCTACCCTTCTTCATCCAGCTGGAATGTTCACACACTCCTGAAAACGCTATGCAACGGAATCTGAATTCTTATCGTATTGATGAAGTGCTAGGATAATCAAATACAGCCCAACATTCCAGAAATGAAATGATAATGACAAATCAAAAAGCGGAAATATGCAGGAAGAAGAAAACGGCAAAGAGAGAGAGAGAGAGAGAGCCACAGCTATCAGGATAGAGACGAAGGGAGAGAGAGAATCTGTCCAAATCTTCCACACCCCCTTCACTAACAGAATTTGTCTTATTATACTCATTCCACATCCTCAAGTTCCCGTATTTTCCAGGTCTTCTTCCTTACACGCTGGCTGCGTCTTACTTGGGCCCCCATATTATCTTGGACTCGGTCTAAGTTTTTACCCATCGTGCCATCTGGGCTTGTGTCATGGTTATTCGGCGTTGGGTTCATAACATTATCTCCCCCATTGGATAAAACCTTGTCCTCAAGGTTTAGATGAGGATAAAGTTTCTGCAAATCAGAACCCCATTCCCACGTAACATCTGGCGACCCTTCCCATCGAATTAAATACTGAGGTTGCCAGTGCCCCTGCTGTTGAATCAGACGAGAAGATAAGACTTCTATTGGTTGGCAGACCGGTCCTTCTGGTAAGGAAGTGAGTGGAAGGGGAAAATAAGTGTCTGCAGTCTCCGTCCCCTCGAATTTCTTCAAAAGAGAAACATGGAAAACCGGGTGAATCTTAGCAGTCACCGGAAGCTGGAGTTTGTAAGCAACCTGTCCGATCCGAGCCTCAACCAGAAATGGGCCAAAATAATGCATAGCGAGTTTGTGGTACTTTCGTAATTGTACAGAATGTTGACGGTATGGTTGTAGCTTGACCAAAACCCAATCACCCTGTTCAAACGCGACATCAGTCCGATGTTTATCTGCGGTCATCTTCATGCGGTGTTGGGCCCGTAATAAATTGCTTTTTAATTCATCCAAAAGCTCATTGCGTTGCTGCAATTGTTGATGGACATCAAAAGGGGTATCATCCAGAGAGGAATGACGCAATAGTGGTGGAGGGTCTCGGCCATAAACCACTTTGAAGGGAACCATGCCAATAGCCGTATGAAAGGACGTATTATACCAAAATTCTGCCCATGGAAGATAAGCTAACCAGCGTCGAGGAAATTCAGAAACATAGCAACGCAAGTACATTTCAAGACATTTATTGAGAGCCTCCGATTGGCCATCTGATTGTGGATGGTATGCTGAACTAAGACAGAGGGTGGTACCCTGAAGCTTCATCAAATGTCGCCAGAATGCACTGGTGAATGTTTTATCTCTATCAGATACGATAGTGCGTGGGATACCGTGTAATTTGACTATGTGTTGAAGGAATGCCTCAGCAACCGATTGACTGGAGAAATTAGCAGCTAACGGAATGAAGTGAGCATACTTGGATAAACGATCAATGACCACTAAGACAACCGAAAACCCACGAACAGGTGGTAAATTGGTGATGAAATCCATAGCCACATCTTCCCAAATACGCTCTGGTATGGGTAATGGTTGTAATAAACCAGCAGGACTCAACTGTGATGTCTTAGCTTGTTGACAAACTGTGCATCGGCGGATGAAAATTCGAATATCACGGCGCATGTGTGGCCAGAAAAACAGAGCAGCCACACGATGAAAAGTCCGAAGATACCCCGCATGGCCCCCGAGAACTGACGAATGAAAAGTATGCAACAGTTGCATGATTAAATCCTGGTCATCTGGTGGAATAACTAATCGGTGTTTCCAATACAAATCCCCTTGTTTAACCTGGTATTGCGGCATCGAACAGGAACCATCATTAACCGACTGAATTATTCCAGAGATCCAATCAGATTGTCGAACACGTGTATACACAGTATCCATGAGAGTCATATCCAATTGGGAAAAAGCCATGCAAGAGGCCCTCGACAATGCGTCGGCAGCCTGATTCGAACGCCCAGCCTTGTACTCAATAGTAAAATTATAACCCAACAATTTAGGTAGGCAACTCTCTTGCTCCGGGGTCTGAATGGATTGCTCAAGTAAATACTTGAGACTGGCATGGTCAGTTCGGATGATAAAGCGGTGTCCGAGCAAATAATGCCAGAATTTAGTGACTGCCTGTGTAATCGCATACAGTTCTCGAACATAAGTTGACTGAGATTGCATGCGACTCGAAAGCGTCTTCGAAAAATAGGCTATAGGGTGATTTTGCTGACTCAGTACAGCACCGATGCCTATGCCAGAAGCATCTGTTTCTAAAACAAATGGCAATGAGAAATCCGGTAATCGCAAAACAGGCGCAGACATTAGAGCTCTCTTCAAATTCTCAAATGCCTGGTGGGCTTCGGTGGTCCAAATAAAATTATCTTTCTTTAATAACTGTGTTAACGGGCCCGCAATATTAGCATACTGCTTGACAAAGCGACGATAGTATCCACTCAGACCCAGGAACCCCTTAAGTTGTTTGACATTTGTTGGTGTGGGCCAATCACAGATAGCTTGAACCTTGGATGTGTCCATTTCAACCCCTTGGCTGGAGACCACGTGGCCTAGATACTCAATACGCTGCATTCCGAAGGAGCACTTTGATAATTTGGCAAAAAGGCTATGCTGAGTCAAGTGACGCAATACTAGATCGACGTGTTCTAAATGAGCCTCCCACATGGCACTGTAAATAAGGATATCGTCGAAGAAGATGAGAACAAACCGGCGAAGGTATGGCCGGAAGATAGAGTTCATCAACGCCTGAAAAGTCGCTGGGGCATTTGATAATCCGAATGGCATGACCAACCATTCATAGAGACCTTGATGAGTTCGGAACGCCGTCTTCTCTCTGTCATCATAATGCATCAAAATCTGGTGATAACCAGAACGGAGGTCGAGCTTGGAATAAAACATAGACCCATGCAACTCATCCAATAGCTCATCTACCGTAGGCATAGGAAAAGCGTCTTTAATTGTGATAGCATTCAAGGCACGGTAATCAACACAGAAACGCCACGACCCATCTTTCTTTTTCACCAAAATCACTGGTGCCGAAAACGGACTTGAGCTGGGTTGGATGAGGCCGTCGGCAAGTAAATCATTTATCATTTGTTCGATGATCGATTTCTGGCTCATGGGATAACGATAAGGTCTTACTTTAACCGGACCAGATCCTGGAGTCAACGTAATGCGATGTTCATGCCCACGAGGAGGGGGTAGACGATGAGGAGTCACAAAAACAGAGGCATGACGCTGTAAGACTTGAAGAAGATCAACTGGGAGGTCAGTTGGAAAATCTGTGTGATCCGGTGTAGTGGTAATGTTATCAAGCACATATAGTTCTGCAATGGCATCGGTTTGAGTCAGGCGGGTGAGGTGATGAAAGTTCGCCTGGGCTGCCGGGGACCCTCTGTAACCTTTTAAAGTGATAAAGCGACCATCCACCACGAATCGTATGGTAGAAGTGCTATAGTCTGCAATGTGTGGGCCCAAAGTTTCAAGCCAATCAGCTCCTATGACAATGTCCGCACCTCGTACCGGTAGCACAAGTAGCGATAATGGAATAATATGGCCGTCGATGCAAACAGGGACATCGGAAACCATTTCTGCAGTTTGCAGGATCTTTCCTGTACCCCCCAAAACACGTACCAAGCCTGTCTGTTCAATGGGCAAATTTAAATGAGAGACAATGCGAGGGTGGATGAAAGTGTCAGAGCTGCCGCCGTCAAGCAATATTTGGACGGTGGTGCCAAAAATGTCACCATTAAACCGAATTGTTGCGGGGCCATGAATCCCACGTAAAGCATATGAAGATAAGTGATGCAATGTACTGTCAACTGCCAGTGCGTTGGTGTCATCAGGAATCGGTTCATCCTCATCGTCTTCACATTAAAGTAGCATGAGTTGCTTATTGGGGCACCGGTGCGAGGGAGTAAACTTCGCGTCACAGGTATAACATAAACCCTTTTCACGTCGTATTTGCATCTCAGCTGGCCTGATTTTTTTAATTGGAGGCCCTGGAGGCGTCGGTAATAATGGTGGGACATTAGTTTTGCCACCTCCGCTAGCAGAAACAGGGGTTGTGGAGCTAGGTAGGGCCAGTACCGGTGATCTGAGTGGAATCGGGGTAGCAGTCCGCCCCTTAGATGGATAATCAACCTTAGAAGTTGAGAGACCAAATCCTGTGTTATCATTGAATAAACGGGCCAAAGCCATAGCCGCGACCACCGATGAAGGACGTTGAACCAGAACGTCACGCTTCAGCGACGGTAATAAGCCCCCGATGTAACAGTCGAGCAATGCAGACTCGGAAATCTCTTCAGTACGATTGGCCAATGCCAGAAATTTAGTATTATAATCCTCAAGAACCCCGCCCATGCTTTGTTGAGTGAGCTTAAAGAGTTGCGCCCGGGGGCAGTCAAATTTAGAGGGTCCGTATTGGATCTCGATGGCCTTTGCTAACGTCTGCCAATCAGGTATCCTGCCAGCTCGTTCTAACATTTGGTACCATGGGAGAACAGTACCGTCCAGATGGACAGAAGTCAAGACCAGATGCTGTGGGTCCTGAATATTGTAGTACTTAAAATATTGCTCAGCACGGAAGATCCAATCCAGAGCATCCGTTCCATCAAAACGGGGAAAATCAACTTTAACCGATTTGAAAGGTGCCTGAGATAATGAAACAGGATCAACCGATGTAATACCTGAAGCAGGGGACTCCTCAGGGCCCGAAGTCGGAGAGCGGCCAGAACGGTGGTTGTTATTTTCAACCGACTGTATCACAGAGTGTAGTAAACGTTCCAGCTGATCGAAACGACCGTCAATGCGTTCAAAACGCCCATCCATTAGATCAAAACGGCCTTTAGCCTCGTCGATAAATTCGTTCGTCTTTTTCATATCAGCTTGAAGATCCTTTAGACGCGTGTTCTCGGCCATGGTAGGGGAGGCTCAATGAAAGCACCAAATGGAATGTTCACACACTCCTGAAAACGCTATGCAACGGAATCTGAATTCTTATCGTATTGATGAAGTGCTAGGATAATCAAATACAGCCCAACATTCCAGAAATGAAATGATAATGACAAATCAAAAAGCGGAAATATGCAGGAAGAAGAAAACGGCAAAGAGAGAGAGAGAGAGAGAGAGCCACAGCTATCAGGATAGAGACGAAGGGAGAGAGAGAATCTGTCCAAATCTTCCACACCCCCTTCACTAACAGAATTTGTCTTATTATACTCATTCCACATCCTCAAGTTCCCGTATTTTCCAGGTCTTCTTCCTTACACGCTGGCTGCGTCTTACTTGGGCCCCCATATTATCTTGGACTCGGTCTAAGTTTTTACCCATCGTGCCATCTGGGCTTGTGTCATGGTTATTCGGCGTTGGGTTCATAACACCAGCATCTAGATTAAAATATTAATTATCTATTAGCATCTTCAAAGCCATTAGGTAAGAGCCACCCAATTATATTATTGACCCCTAACTTTAATTTTTAGGTGCTTAATTACTTAATCAGATCAATATGTAATCAAATGCAAGCCTAATATGGCTATGTGGGGTAGGTGTATTCTACTCCGGCCATTAAAATCAGGTTAAATTCAATCAAAGGTCTAGTCTAAATTTCCTATATTAAAGCCCCATTTTGATTCTTCATCATTTTTAGGACAAGTGAGGGTACAATCCTTAATCCACCTTCGTTATTTGGACTCATAAGCCTCCTTTAAAATCTAGAGTAAGTAAAATGAGCATAGCCTCCAATGAAATCCTCATAACTAAAATGTGTCTGAACCAAAGAGAACTTTTTCTTAATATTCACACTCAGGACCATTTTATTCAATTAATTCATTTTTCCCTACAAAATCAAGTGATATCCTGGCCATTAAAAAATGCATTGATGACTCTCCTCAGATATCACTGCATATGAGAGACATCACTAATTGTTGACTTTCTAATAATAGATATTATAAAAACAACGTCCCGATCTCCCAGCTTTAATAATTATATCCATTATTTGCAAAAAAGCTCAAGATCTTCAATCAGGGCCGTCAAATTCCTTTGTGAGGATCCATCTTCTTCCACAGCTTTTCCAGCTTTCTCTCTCATCTCTATGGCTTTCCTTCTCACCTTCTCACCTTCCTCTCCGCAGTCCATCAACCTCCTCACAGCATTTTCTATCTTCATCTTATTCACCACCTTGTCCTTCTATCATAAGGGCCGGAGTTCCATTCCTCTGCCCCAACCTCCACTCCAAACCCGTGCACCTGCGTTATCAACTTCTCATTGTAGAACTGCTCGACGAATACCGGCCACGTCATCATCGGAACCCCGGCGCTCACCGCCTCCGTCACTGTCGTCCACCCGCAATGCGTCAGAAACCCACCGGTCGCCGGATGGTTCAGTATCAACTCCTGTGGCGCCCATTTCATGAGGATCAACCCTCTGTTTTCCTTCTTCATCCTCCCTTCAAACCCTTTCGGCAGCCACGTTTTCTTTTCTTCTGCTTCTTCTTCTTCTTCGTTGTTCTGTTTGGATTCCCTGTGCACGACCCAGATGAAGGAACATCCAGAAGACTCCAATCCACAAGCTATTTCGAACAGTTGAGGGTCATCGAAACGACACAGACTGCCAAAGCTTACGTAAACAACAGAATTAGATTCCTTGGAATCTAGCCATGTCCTTATGAGTTCATCATGCTCGTTGTTGGTTTGTGGATGAAGATCTTCTTTTGGTAGTATGTTTCGTAACATGAGAGAAGCAGGACCAATGTGCCAAACCTTCAGATCGGTGCTTTTCTGGTGATAGTTGATGTAATCTTGACCGTCCAGATCGTTAAAGTTGTTCACAATTAGCCCATAGCTGTTCTTCTGATCAGCCTCTATCAAGCTTCCGAGCAGTTCAGAAATCCTCTTAGGTGGTCGAAGGGGGAGGGTGATTGTTTCGGGAAGACCCGAAACCACAAACGGACCACCCGAATTATCACCATCATGATCATTGCATAATCCCGGCGGTAGTGACTGTAATTGTCTGTTGTGCGCACTGATCATGCACACAGCAAAAAGACAAAAGGAGTTGAACACAATCCTGGGAATCCCCAAACGGGTAGCTATCGGGGCTGTCCACGGGTACATAAAATCCGAAACGATACAATCGGGTGGGTTTTCCTCCATGAAAGGCTGCACTTGATTTCTGAGCAAACCTGCAGCCTCGTAAAGTTTATGACCAGTGGGGGCATCTGTGACATTGAAGAAGTTCTCGATGCCGTCGGGGAGACCTACTTCATCGGAGGGAAATCTGACGGTGTGAAGTTGGATATGGTGGCCCAAGGCGTTGCTTTCTTCAATGGAGCTTTGGAGGAACCGGGCGTTGACAGGGGTGGTGATGATGGTCACGTGCAAGCCACGTGCAGCGAAGAGCCGCGCAAATTGGCAGAAAGGGATCATGTGGCCTTGTGCCAAGAAAGGCAGGAAGTAGACATTGAGAGGCCTGGAAATTTCTGCCATGGTGATTGTGTTGGTGCTCGTGCTACTATATATGGCCTTTGCGTATAACGAGAGACGAAGAAGAAGAGGTTTTAAAGAGGGAGATCATTGGTTTGGTGCTAATAACCAGAGTCTTGGGTATATTCCAGTTCCTATCGGCCGGTTTGTGGATATATAGTACTCTTCGAATCCTTAATATAAAACCTATTTAACTAATTTGATTATATTAAGGAAGTTAGATAAGTTAGTTAGTTATAATAAATATGACATGTTTTTTCTAAAATACTATAATCATTTTTCTTAATATCCTCTTTCTCTCTTCTACTTAATTATGGTTGAGAGAGTATCCATAAGAATAATTTAGAAAAAATTGATAAATATAAGAAATAGGTATTATATTTAATACCAAAATCAACTTAACAATTAGGTCATATATTAAGGACTGGAGGAGTATATATTATATATATTTTTATTCGTCTTCCAAAAATTGCATGCATGTGAAGTTAACTAGCTTTGGCATTATATATCGTCTTGTTACTGTCTGAGACCCGAAAATGAGGAGAGTGATTCCTGTTTAAGCTCTATACTATCTGATTAAATATAATACTATCTCCGGACCTAATTATAAGAGCTAGTTGATTAATTTGAGGATATTAAGGAAAAAAGTTAAGTTAATTATTTGTAATAAATAGGTGTTGTCTTTCTTAAAATATCCTTGCTAATCAAGTGTATTGGTTAGAACTATCATTGCTATAACGATTACCTTGGGAAAAAAATACATAAATATGAAAGACAAAGTGGATTGAGGCCTTATATTTAGGACTAAAATAAAAGTCAAATAATATCTTATATTAAGGACCGGAGGTAATATTAATTAATGGCTTCTCTGATAGAACTGTATATACCTGCAAGTGAAGAAGCTAACTGCCAATATGGAAACTCTCCTGAATGATACTTAGGAGCATTCAGATGGAAACCAGATTATGATTTTAAAAGTAATTTTATAATAAATAAGTATGTGAAAGAAATTTTGTCTTGATAAATATGAAAACATAAAAAGTGCTCTTTATTATCGCCCAAACACCCCATTAAAAATCAAAACCAGCAGCATCGGTTATAATACTATCAGAACATATTATAGTAATTGCCATTGATATAATTGTTCTTTTCCCACTAGCTAGATCAAGAATTTATTCGTAATTGAGCATCTGGCGTAGCTGGCAAATTGTCCATATACGAATGTGTGTCTCCGCTCCACGGCTGGTTCAAATGTTTGCTAACGCCGATTAAAGCCGAATTCAATTAGTTTATTAGTCTTGCTAAGTGCAGATATTTTTTTTTTATTAGAAGTAATTCTATTCAAGATATTATCAAGTACTGAATACGAGTACCTTTTCTAGTGGAGATTTGAACTCTATTCACCTAACCCCTGCGCAAGACCATATGCTGTTCAATTAGTTTATTATAGGTAATATTTTTGTTATTTATATACGAGCATAATCATCCATTGTCAACATTAACCTTTCCGCATGGCTGATGGAGGAGGCGAAAGGTCACATGCAGACCTTGGATTTAATTCGAAAAATCACATATGCAAGTCTCGAATAAAAAAAATTAGTTCTCCACAGGTTCTATTTACTTACAAATATAGAAGTTTGACATGCAAAATAGATTAAGAAAATACTTAATTTTCTTATTTGTGAACTGTATGCATAATTCTTGCGATTTAATAATTGACAAAGTCACATTCTGCCCACAACCTGTCAAATCTTTTTTTTCTTATTGAACTTTAAGCAAGTGCTGATTTGCCGAACACGACCTCCTTTTATATATATATATATATATATATATATATATATTTCTTCCTAGCTGAAAACTTTTAAAATATTTCATTCTCCGCAACTTTTTCTGCCTACTGATGTAACACCTTTGATCTTTAATATAAGAGTTTGTTTAATTTTTATTTTGGTCCTAAATATAAGACCTTAATCCATTTTGTTTCTTATATTTATCTATTTTTTTAAGATAGTCCTTGTAATATGGTAGTTCTAATAAATACATTTAATTAGCAATGATATTTTAGAGAAGACAATATCTATTTATTATAAATAACTAACATAACTAATTTTCTTGATCTATTCAAATCAATCAATTTATTATGGACTGGATGGCGTGCACCCATAAGGAAAGATCCCACGAACCCATAACAAATCTGAAATATACTCACCCAAAAAAACTAAACAAAAGTCTGGCAATCCACTTGAACCCTTGAGCACAAAAAAACGAAGACCCAAAGTGATAAAAGACGCCACAAGGCTGATCAAGCCTTAATAAGTCAGCTAGTTCAATGAAGAACCCTATAGAGAATCTATTCTCAAGTTTGGAAGTGCAAAAATGCAACATTTGATTTCTCAAAAACAAGTCTAAATACAAAATGAAGGGTTCAAAGTGTTTTAAAGAGATACATTTAAATCTGACCCTAAAACATTTAATGCAACCTAGAGACTCATAATATTAAATACTAACTTAAAAGAAATTAGAAAGATTTGATACAACTCACTTGGAAAACTCAAAAGTCAAATCTGCCAATTAATTAGTAATTTTCGCATAAATATAATTAATAAAATATAATCAGCATATTAAGCCTAAAATCTTATTATTTAGGCCCAAATGAGTCTTTTCATGTATAAGACTTGATCCAAGCCTTTTAAATTGAAGTCTCCAAGTCGAAAGTATGTTCACCAGCACCATTTTCAGCCCAAATAAAATTAGTGACGGCCTCATCATTTTCAATCTGATTTGATGCTCTGATTGCCATTCGTTTTGTCAGTGTATTTTGAACTAGCCAATTTAATGCTTTCTCTTGCTCTTGTGATGGACACTTAGAATTTGCAAAGAATCATTTGAAGTTGAAAGGTCAGCTTGCTGGGTCACATATCACCAGATGGTGTATTGCCTTTCATCCTCATCACGCGTGAAACAAATGTGTTTGTGTTTTGTTTTGATGATATATATGTATAACAATTAGAGGGGTCAATAGTTGGTTATGCCTGGCCACAAAAAAAAAAATTGATTATGCAATTTGCAATTTACTATCTTTTAGCCACAATAACCCTTTGGAACCATTGTGCTTAATTATTTTATGTTTATATTAAATAAGCAGTTTATTAGGACAAAAAATTTTGTTGTGTAATGTTTTAGTGATTAATCATTTCATTCTCACTTTAATGTGATGATGGTAGAAACATAATAAATAAAAATATCTATTATATCTATCTATATAACTTATAAACCTTTGATTGGTCCACACGAAGGGGTGGGTTTTCATTGGTTTTTGTGTTGGTGGTACAATAATTATGGAGTGGTGTGGGAGAGCCCGCTTATTCAATATCGAACCGTTTCACTTCCTTTGACGAAAGGCATATACTCTTCCGGTCCTTATTATAAGATCCAATTTGACTTTTTATTTGGTCCTAATTATAAGACCCAATCCATTTTCTCTCTTATATTTATGCATTTTTTTCCAAGATAATCCTTCTAATAATGATAGTTTTAGCCAATATACTTAATTAGCAAGGATATTTTAGGAATAACAACACTTATTTATTATAAATAACCAACTTAACTTACTTCCTTAATCTCTTCAAATAAATCAATTGGTCTTATAATTAGGACCGGAAGAGTATATTGTTTTGATTGAACATGACTTATTTGGTTCGTTTTCAGACATCATACAAAGGCCGTTAGGAAAATTGCTGTTGCTTCTTACTACTTGAAATATGAAATTTTGAGAGGGGTTTTCATGCGTGTTTGCTGGGCTCCATGCAAGTTTATTTGTTTTTCAACATATTTAATAAATTTGCTAAACATAGATGCCAGAAAATGATTTATTTGCATGTGAAGCGGAAATAGGATAACTCTAGAAACTTCAGTTTTCCATCTAAGCCATAATGTTAATGACGCATAGGGTTGATGAAATGTGAAAATGAAATTGAAGATTTAATGAGTTTGAAATAAAAATAAAAGCCCATTTAAAATGACATACTCCTCCGGTCCTTAATATAGAACCCAATATTGAGTTGGTTTTGATCCTAAATATAAGACTCATTTATCATATTTATCAATTTTCTCTCAATTACCCCTATAAATATTCCCTCAACCATAATCAAGTAGAAGAGGGAGAAAGGTATTAAGAAAGATGATCATGGTATTTTAGGAAAAACATGTCACATTTCTTATAATTAACTAACTTACCTAACTTCCTTAATCTAATCAAATTAGTCAAATGGGTCTTATATTAAGGACCGGAAGAGTATAAGCAATTTTTTAATCATGATTTACTGAATATGAAATAAGTATGTGAAAGTAATGTACCATATCCATTAATCCATGGGTTCTTCCAAGTGGATTCAGGAAAGAAACCAACAAATGTGACAAGAAATATTGTCAACGCTGAACTCTGAAGCACTACAGAATGTGATTCCAATATAATATAACAAGGCTTGCTTTGTTTGTAAGATATGTCACCAAATTTTCTTCTTTTTTTTTTTTGGTTTCTTCCCTCGTCATTCTTAATATTTTGCCATTTTTTCTTAGCTCCCAATGAGAAATGAATTATTTGATGGAATCAGTCAATAGAATGTTTAAGTACTATGTTCTCTGGAGTAGGGGTGTTCAAGACCGGCCCGTCTCGGTCGGCTCGTTCTGGTCCCGGTCTTATTGGGACGGGACGTGACAAAAAGGGACGGGATGAGACGGGACGGGACACGGGACGGGGTCATCCCGTCCCGGTTTTTTTTTTAATTTTTTTAAATTTTATCCTATTTATATAATATCA